GTATACACTTCTAACTTGTCATTTTATCACGTGACCAATAAAGTCTAGAGAGCGTTTGTTTATTACATCTACATTCAGATCTAATTCTCTATAACGTGATAAAAAATTCACAACATCTCAGTTGCATCCGATGTGGATATTCAAACGTGGCAATACTATATACCAAATATAAAAAAAAATATTTTACAGCCAACTTATATTATAGGACTATTTTATTATGCAAATCTAACAAACATCCAAGATCAGTCTCTTAGAATTGAATACTCCTTTATAACGGCGAAAACATTATTCATCAGCAGCTAACTGAACGCATATTAGAGATTCCTCCTCCACCTCTAACCGTTTACCATATTGTGTCAAACTAGGTCCGCTTTTGCTCCTTGCTCCGGTTCGTATCGGGCCATCTGCCGTCGGGGCCATAACCGCATACAGCCGAAATCCAAGTATCAATCCATTTCAATCCCACTCATGGCATAATATGACAGAAAGTATCAATCTATCCCGATTCCACCCGTGACTACTGACTACGGATCAGAGCAGACGGCCATAATATGACAGAAGTGCGTCCGGCAAATCAACGAAAATCGGAGGGTTAGGGGCACAATCTAGTACAGTCGACAATAAAACAAGCAGAATATTGATATATACATTCATACATATTTGGTTCGATATTTAATGTTTGTAGATGTATATAAGGGTTATACTGATTTGTTCTCCACCTATAATCAAACGGATAATTTTGAACAACACAACAACAGGGAGTGACATTGTGAAATTAATAGAGATATACCATGTAATGGTGTTAATAAATAATTCTGTTTTCTCTGAAATAATCGTTATGAATCAAAGCGTAATTTTATTATTATTTGACAATCACAGAAATGTCAAAATGTCGTCCTGTATAAAAAAATAAGTTACCTTCACTGAGCTCTTTTATAGGAATAATACCTAAGGAGACAAAGTAATATATTCTAAAATACCCTTTATTGACTATACAAATATTTTTCCTACGACCCATATCGCGCTATTTAGTCTTATGAAAAATGTCTTATATCACACGCGTGTGGATAAGAATCTACTTTCCCTCCTTGTGTGATTATGAATCTACTTTTCGCATGCGCTGTCAAATATTTCAGACACATAATTTCTATTTTGATCTATGTTATGCCTATATTAATAGTAAAATCGATTTGATGATTAAATTGTTAACATTGATTTTTATACCTAGATACTAGATATTTATTTTTAGCAAATTTTTAAAATTATTAAAGTAACCACAATATTTGTTTGTGGTCAATATACATATTTGATTAGATAATTCATGTTACATAAGTTTAACTTTTTCAACCTTGCATGTCAAGACCATGTTGCGACGCAGGTTCAATTCCCGATAGAAGCAATCCCTTTTTTTTAAATATGAAAATTGAAAAAATTCGACTATTATTGTTTATTTCAAATACATTTTATGTATCATAATATAACCCATAGAGCTAATCTGTCTGCTATTTATTTTGTTGTATTTTGATTGAATAAAAAATGTGAGTAGATAAGAAGGTAGTAGTCATCTATAGTAACAAAAAAGAAATATTAAAAAATCCTAACTCAATAACGAAAATGATATGAACTTGAAATTTTTAGAAAAAATCAAGCTTTATAAGGTGAAAAAGCCTATTGATTTTGAAAAATAATCTGATTAAAAAAGGGGTGCTTAAGGAAGGTTGAAATTAAAAAAAAATCATAAATCAAAACCGAAAAGCGATATTAACATGAAATTTTTAGTAAATATCAAACTCTATAAGGAGTAAAAGCTTATTGGTCCAGGATCCGTTTAATGGATAAAAGTTTTTTTTATTAGATAAAATATGTTTTTAAATATATCGCAAATGGGTTGCCTAAGAACATACGGTCACGGCTATTTTTTGCTTTCCTTTCTGTGTACAGATAAGGAAAGTATTGAAATCATGATAAAAGTTGTGTATGATGTCATTCTTTATTATTTTGTTCCTATACATGATTTCCCTAAAATGAACCTAATCCGAGATATTTGAGGAAAAGTGCAAATTTCGAATTTTGAAGAAAACTCAAAAACGGATAAAGAGAAAAACACCAAATTTTAAACTTAAGCTTTAATCTATCCTGTGGTGAGCTAATTAAAGTTTGGGCATAGTCGAAGCATCTGGGGAATACTTTACAGGGTGTCGTTTTTTTATTATAAGAAAATAAATAGTCTGGACCGTATTTTCTTAGGCAACCCTTTTGCGATATATTTATAAACATATTTTATTTAATAAAAAGAAACTTTCATCCATTAAACAGATGGGTGAAGGTCGATCTTACTTCGGATCGTAGACTATATTGATTTTGAAAAAAATTGAATAAAAATGGGGGGTTAAGGGGTTTGAAACATTCAAAATCCTCAGTCAAAAACAAAAAATAATATCAACTTGAAATATTTAGCAAAATCAAGCCCTATAAGGAAACAAACCCAGCAAACATTTTGGTGTAATTTGACGTCGTTACTACCTAAATTATATATAATAAATTTGGCCGCAAAATTAGATTTAACCATAATTAAGTAAAATTTACGTTGGCTCGACGTGGATTCGACATAAGTGAAGAATAAGACGACGTCGAAATTTGGTTTTATTTACCAAAATAGGTAGAATTACATCTAAATCCACATTGTAGTAGCCCAGTACGTTTGGTTAGTAATACCTCTCTAGGGAAATTTGACATTAGTATAACGTTAATTCGACGTTGATTTAAGTAAGTTTAAGTAGAAACTACCAAAATATTTGCAGATGACGTATGCCTCCAAGTGTACGAAAAGAAATTTTATACTTATTTGGTATTTTTATCTATATATAAGTAGAAATATTGTAAGAAGTAACCAACACAACTAAAACATATACCTAATTGACATGAGAGATTGAAAATAAATAAATGTCGGTGACAAAAATATATGTAATGTAATTGCGGTGAATATACAGTTCACGCTTGTTGAAATTAATGCGAAGAAAATGTTGTCGTGCATGTTAACAGTTCTACTTAGAAAAATAACAATGCCCTTCCAAAATACTCTCTAATTAAAACAATATAAGAAAAAAATATGATCGTGTAAAAAAATAATAATAATGAGCTAAAACTATGTTACGTTTGTTGTGTATAACTTTAGAAAATCAATAATGTTTCGTTTTTCGGTATTTTCATTCGTATGTTTTAGTTATGGTCATTTTAAAAATTTAAAATTTGGAATCGTACTTCAATTACGTTAAGAAAATATGGCGTATTGTGCGAATTCGACCTAAAAGTTATTATGACTAAGGAAATCTACATATTTTACAAATACCTTTTTACTAAGTTGAATTAACTTCAATTTCACGACATATTAGTTAACTTTACCTATTTAAAGAAATAATAACTTATAGGTTTTATAAAAAATTTACCTATAGGTAAATATAACATATTTAGGTCACGTTGTTCTGCACTTGAGATTTTAGACGTTTCACTTTACGATAAAAATCGGAAGTATAACGATATGATTTATTATTTTTCGAACTCATTTTATTAATTATTTTTCGCATTCATTTAAAGCTCTATCTACACCACACGTAAATTAAGATTATGACTGTAATGGTTTTTTTAAAATGGCCGAAATTCTCAAGAATAATGACGAAGACAGTAACTGAACAACCTAATTGTTAAAATAACCTAAATAATATAAATTTTACAAAAAGGTCATGTCTGACTTTTTTTAAATTGGTGGTTTTTAGTCGAATTTACTTTGTGGTAAATTTTTCAGGTAATTGCTACAACAAAGTTAATAAATATTTCTTCAAGATGACTTATAGGTCAACTAAATGAGTATTCGACTATTTAGTTGAAATTAGGTAGATAAACAGGTAGAATTTTGCTACGATCTCGACCTAATATTACTTTAAAGGAGAGTAAATAAAAGCGGCCAAATAGGTTACTATGGAGGCATAAAATTACGTAGAATTTTTAACCAAATCTACCTAGTTGGATATTCTACTATAAAGACGATTTTTAGTTGCCAAACAGGTAGATATTACCTAAATATGGCACATAATTTTACTACAAAGGAAATTTAACTTTGAAGTAATTGTTGGTTATTTTTTTTAGTAGTTTTTCCCTTGCTGATATGGTTAAAGTTACTTTTAAGCAGATTTGTGTAAAAGGTAGATTTCTTGGTATAATTTACGTAAATTTAAATATAAATTAAAACCGTTTGGTAAATTTACATTAGAGGTATATTTTTCTAGTCAATTTTACGTAATAATTACCTCAATAAGTAAATTCGTCTTAAACAAAGTCGAGTTATAACTAATGTTATAGAAAATGTTTGCTGGGAAGCCTATTGATTCTGAATAAAAATCTGAATAAAAATGGGAGATAAGGGAGTTGAAATATTGAAAATATCCCAAGTCAGAAACAAAAAACGATATCAATAGAAATTTTTAGGAAAAATCAAGCTTAATAAGGGGATGCAATGTATTGATTCTGAAAAATATCTGATTGAAAGTGGGGTTAAGGGGAGGTCAGTGCAAACTGTGACGAGTATAATATAGTATTCTAAGCATTATATTATGTCTTCGTTCTAGTTAGTTGTACCCACACGTGCAATGGTGCAAATCACCTTTTATTTTAATTTTCAAGATAAAAATGGAACGGTTAACAAATCATGTTTATTGTTACCTTCGCCGATGTTTATTATGAATCCTACTTTTGTGTGTTTAAAACGCGCATTTGTCGTGTAACACAGGCATTCTGCGGTCGTCTTATGAGCACCTCGTTCACCTGACTTGTCTGCATGCGACTCTTTCCTTTGGGGGTACCTAAAAACAAAAGTGTTTCTAATCTTCAAGGGCTATCCAGGCATTAAAAGGATTCGACGTGAAGTAACTGCAATGTCGCTAGAAATGCCAAGGCTGAATGTGTGCGACAAAACGGATGCCACCTTTCGGACATTATTTTTAAAAATGAAGTATTGTGCACTTATACAAAATTTTCTTGGATATGCCAAATATACAAAAGCATACGGAATACATGTACCAAGTAAAGATGATGACGTTATACGTAGAGATGTGAAAGTAACAGAAAAAATGTTCTACCAGGAAACAGATAAAAATTACAAAAATTATCCAAATGTTATTGAAGTAGGTATCAATAAGATTGCAAAAATTCCTGTGGCTGAAAAATTTCACGACAATGATCACAGAAATCGGTCAAAACATTAACGAACCTCCTATACAATCTACAAGCAGAAAGTCACAACGTGAACTAATGCCACCAATATGGTCAAAAGACTATGAAATGGAAGAAATGAGTAAATTGTCCATATGCGAATCAGATGAAATAAATAGTGAAGAATGGAAAGAAAATGGGACCTGGAAAATTATTGAAAGAAAAAGTAACAAAAATGTTGTAAACTATAAAATGATACTGAAGACAAAAATAAGACAAAATAATATAGAGACCAAGAAAGCAAGATTTGTAGCCAGAGGATTCAGCCAAAAACCTGGTATAGACTACAATGAAACATTTGCTCCAGTGGCAAAATTGAGTTTCATTAGGTTGTTATTAGCTATAGTTGTAGAAGATGGTCTGAAATATAATGAATGAAGAAACCAGATCATTTAACAAAGTATCAGAAATTATGATAGATCAGAGCACAAATGAAGACCTTAGTTTGTTTAATAAAACGAAATCAATGTTAGCAGATATACAAAATCTACAAGGAGAAAAAGTTTGCAAGTTACAGAAGGCAATTTATGGGCTAAAACAATCTGGAAGACAATGGAATATAAAATTAGATACAGAGTTGAAAGCTGTAGACTTCAGTGCATCACAAACTGATCCATGTACATATACTTTCATAAGAGAAGAAGTAAAAATAATAGTTGCAGGATATGTCAAGGACCTGATATTTGCATATTCCAGTGAAGAAAAATTAAACGAAATTAAGAAAAAGTTATTGAAAACGTTTGAAATGTAAGATTTTGGAAAACCAAAAATTTGTGTAGGAATAGAAATTATTGAAAAATTTTAATATGGCAAAGTCCGTAGGTACTCCGATAGAACCACACTTGAAATTGAAAAAAAAAATAGAAACGTATGAAAAATTACCATACCAAAATCTAATTAGGGCCCTTATACTAGCACTTTCTATAAGGCCAGATATCATGTATGCGGTAAGCCATCTGAGTCAACACGTGTCAGTCACACTACATCCGTAGTGTGACTGATAGATGCCAATTTGAACAGGCCAGTTTCATCGGTAATATAATTAAATTTGTCTCTATTGCCGCTCATTTGTGAAGTACATCCACTATCCAAGCACCATAAATCATTTCTTACGATATATGTAGATGTTAAGCAAACTGGTTGAATATTAAAATTTCTTTCACCATCTTTTTTCTTCTGCTTATCTTCACTTTGATTTGTTTTTGCCCAACAGTCTGATGCTTTGTGGCCACTCTTTTTACATTTGTTGCATTTATATTTGAATCATGTCTGTAAGGTTTTCGGTTCTTTCTACTATAAAAAGCACCTTCTGCATTGTCAACGTTTTCACGATTTTTTCGTGCTGTTGATTCTTCAATAATTTTAACTTTTAAATCTTCTAGTTTTGGTAATTGATCTCTTGTCTCAATTGCAATTCTGAAGTTTTTAAAACTTGATAGTAAACTGTACAACATCATGATACTTAACAATTCTGAGTTAATTTCTACGGCCATATCATTAAGTTTATCAACAATATTTAAAAAATTGTTTAAATGGTTTCTTCATCTTCTTCAGAATTAGTTGTTTTAAAAGTATCGCTTTTCTGGCTGGACCTTGACTCTGGTAGCTTGATTTCAGCTTATTCCAGACGGCTTTTGAAGTATTGCAATTTTTTATTTGTTTTAATTTAGATGGAGACATAAGTAGTAATACTTCTGAGCGCGCTATTTGATCATCTTGCTCATATTTTTCTTCTGCATCAGCATTTCCTACTGGCTTAACTTTTGTGCCGCTTACATATTCCCAAAGGTTACTTTTTATTGAAACCGCTTGAGCCTGAACACTCCATGTATCATAATTGTCTTTGCCAAGTGGTTCAATACGATACGTTGAAGTCGCCATTTTATTTTCGGATTTTAATTTAAAGCCTTCGTTCTCCTACCATGTTACGGTAATAAATACAAAACGAATAAAATGGAATAGTTTTATTTTTCTTATTATAGAATATGACAGCTTATTATGAAAATTATATTTTTTGTTTGACAAGTATATAAATAACTACGGCTTTTATATTAGTTCTTGAGCATAAGTGCAGTGAATCATCTATAATCTAATATTGACTCACCCTGTATTATTAATTATTAGAATGTTATTCTATTTTTCAGAATAAAATTACCCTAACATTTATGCAGTTTAGATTTTGAGTATTATGTTGTCTTTTGTAAATGGTAATGTTATGTTTGCAATATGGAAAAAGTTTTTTCAGATACAAAAGCGTCAAAACATAAGTGTATCAGAATGTAGAAAACATTTTATTAATTATTTTTAGCCAAACATACTGTAAATAATTAATTTCCATAACTATGACTTTTCGCACGTAGTTTAATTTATTTTCACTTACAATCTAATAGACACATAATTTATCTCAATCCGGACAAGAAACCTGATGACTTATTTAAAAAGTCATCTACCGCACTGCAATAAATTATTTGCCTTTCAACAAGGAGCAAGGCAACAAGATCCTATAAAACAATAATCTAAGAACATCTTACACTCCTAAAACGCATCGGTAACGCCCGATTGCCTACCTACCGCACCAAACAAGAAGATTTTCAGTGATTAGTTACCTATTAGTTCAAACTGTGTGCCAACAAAGCAGGTAGCAAACAAATTTCCAGTGGCGTGCATAAACGAACTCTTACTTCAGATATACATTTTTAATTAAATTTCTGACATGTCACATGGATTTCGTGCATAAAGGAGGATGAAAAAGTTGAACAAAAATATTTTGGCGTTAAAATTTAAACTCATCCACTATATCGTACTATTAATTGTAATGTACCTACATACATAAGCTACTACAGTATTTTAAAGCCTACAGCCTATACTTGGCGTTATTTAGCTAAATTTTCACTTTAACTTCTACTATAATAAAAGCCTTCCTACCTTTCCTTTTCATTTTTAACTCGGCATTGGCAGTGAAAGGCTCGCTCTTTATAGTAAAACTGACTGTCAAAATGTTTCTTTTTCGCCAACAGCATGTAACCTAACGTGTGTCCACAATTAGTCAATTCAAACGATAACTTAAAGCGGAAATCCAGAAAAATTCTAAAAAATTGTTTAAATGTGTTTTTACTAGAACAAGGACATCTTACAAAATAGGTCTTTATATTATAAATTATAAAAATCACAACGAACTACACAAAGGACTATCATTTAAACTCACCGAGCATCTACTAAGCCATAATAGGAAAAATACTAGCGTACTAGTAGGCCTACTAACATGGCATTGTAGGCTTAACAAACATATGTATTACATCGGTCTGACAGAAGAGACCTTATGCAGGTTCTGTCAGCAAGAGAAGAAAACTGCAGTACACATATTGTGCTACTGCGAAGGTATATCAAGACTGAGATTACTTACATTTGAAGAAGAAAAACCAAGGGCAACTAGCTACGCAGGAGAGCTACTTACTAGGCAAGTTACTCTGAACAACGTTCAAAGGATATTCACAATAGAGCTGAAAAGATCGAGGTGGGGGAGGCCACATGACAAACAGTCCTAATTATATTTAGCATCTAATCTAAGAGGTATTTACCAAATTCACTTTGACGAAAAATTGTTCTATGGCTCCAATATTGAAGATGGTAATTTTATATGAAGATATCAATTTTATAATAATGGAGAGCTGATATATTAAAAGGACACTTTAAATGTTATATCGATTTCATAATACATAAATAAATAGTAGGTAACAAGTCTTTTCCAAATAATTTTTGAAAAATACTTTTCAATCAATGGAAAAAATGAGCCTGAAAACTAAATTAATTATATTTTATTTAAAAATCTTTTAAAGGCTTACTTTCACATTACAATTCAAATTTCAATAAAAAGAATTTAAAATAGGATAATTTTGCTTCCTATAGGTATTTTTCCTAGAATAAATCAGTTTCCAATCATTTAATTCCTCATTCACCCACTTTGGAAAAACCGGAAGACACTGAAATGTTTTACTTTAAATACAAGATAATATTCTGTTACAACATAAAGTTATAAATAAAGTTACAACATAAAGTTACAGCATAAACTTACAACATAAAGTTACAACATAAAGTTACAACATAAAGTTACAACATAAAGTTACAACATAAAGTTACAACATAAAGTTACAACATAAAGTTACAACATAAAGTTACAACATAAAGTTACAACATAAAGGTACAACATAAAGTTACAACATAAAGTTACAACATAAAGTTACAACATAAAGTTACAACATAAAGTTACAACATAAAGTTACAACATAAAGTTACAACATAAAGTTACAACATAAAGTTACAACATAAAGTTACAACATAAAGTTACAACATAAAGTTACAACATAAAGTTACAACATAGTTACAACATAAAGTTACAACAAAGTTACAACAAAGTTACAACAAAGTTACAACAAAGTTACAACAAAGTTACAACAAAGTTACAACAAAGTTACAACAAAGTTACAACAAAGTTACAACAAAGTTACAACAAAGTTACAACAAAGTTACAACAAAGTTACAACAAAGTTACAACAAAGTTACCACAAAGTTACAACAAAGTTACAACAAAGTTACAACAAAGTTACAACAAAGTTACAACAAAGTTACAACAAAGTTACAACAAAGTTACAACAAAGTTACAACAAAGTTACAACAAAGTTACAACAAAGTTACAACAAAGTTACAACAAAGTTACAACAAAGTTACAACAAAGTTACAACAAAGTTACAACAAAGTTACAACAAAGTTACAACAAAGTTACAACAAAGTTACAACAAAGTTACAACAAAGTTACAACAAAGTTACAACAAAGTTACAACAAAGTTACAACAAAGTTACAACAAAGTTACAACAAAGTTACAACAAAGTTACAACAAAGTTACAACAACATTACAACAAAGTTACAACATAAAGTTACAACATAAAATAACAACATAAAGTTACAATATAGAGTTACGACATAAAGTTAGAACATAAATTTACGACATAAATTTGTGACATGAAGTTACGTCAAAGTTACAATATAAAGTTAAAATATGAAGTTACAACATAAAGTTATAACATAAAGTTACAACATAAAGTTGCAACACAAAGTTACAACATATGAAAACAAGATAAATATAGAATATTTTATGTATGAGGTTATTACTCCGGTAAATATTAAAATGAGACACAGGTCAGAAATACCATGATTAAATTTTATTGAAGTACGTTTTATTAAAAGAACGTTAGGAAAAAATTATAAAATTACTTCTTTTAAAGGAAGCTTTGGTTTTGGAAGGTTAGTTTTGGGGGTTAAATTGGTAGTTAGAAGAAAATTCTGAGGCCATCATGTGTAGTATAAAATAAAACTTCGAATTAATTTTTCGAAAAAACGTTTAAAATTTGTGTTCTCCCAACTTATCTCCAAAAGCGACGCTCAGAAAAATAAAAAACTCAGGAACATTGAGAATAAGGTGTAGACTAAACGAAAATGATTATCAATATATCGTTTCTTTAAATCGTTTTTTTACATAAAAAAGAAAGTTCTACCACTCTACTAATACTTTTTATCAGCACCTGACCTAAATCTAAACAACTACGGTACGGAATACTATTGCAAAAGTCCTACTTACACCTCGCGAAATTTTTAAATTTAGCAGCGTATAACTCTTTTTAAATTATCTTTTTTAAAACGTGTAATTTTGCCTAAATCGACTTATTTTAACCCCTAGAAGCTGTGATATATTGTATAACGCATCTATTTAGGGCATCATATATATATTGTAAAAGACATCGAACTAAACAAACCGAATCCAAAAATAATCGCATCGATCCCCCAGTGCCTTCGGCTACTACAAGACACCAATTTACTATCGCAAGTCCTAATTTTTATCAATACCGAAATGAGAAGACAAATAAAAATAGAAAGATAGTAAGAACAGATGCGGATCTATAAGATTTAAGTATTAGAAATAGTATAAATATTCGTAATTATATGATAACACACCTTCATAGATATTTTGGTGCCAGTGATTTTATGTGTTTCTATGTAATTTTTGGGTGCACAATAGCAGTCAGAATTGGTCTATCGGATCTAGTTTTTGAGATATGCTATATTGGCCTTTTTTATAATAAAATCATATTTTCAATTTATGTATTTTTCAGGTTATTACTGTTACTTCACGTGTGTACTGATAAAAATGAGAAAACATGCAGTATTTATTTTATAAAATGTATATGTACAATATAAATATATATTGTGAATGTTGTGATTGTGGGAGATTTATTTATTTATTATAACTATTTACTATTATCTTGTTTTTACCAATTATTAATATATATATTTTTTTTAATTAAAACCTAATATATTTAAAGTGATTAAAAGCTAAAAATAGCAAAAAAAATTGATGAAAATACGATAATGATTTTAGCCAGTGGAAGTAAAAATCCTACTTACAGAACGGTGCAAAATTGGTATCATTCATGGACAAATTTAAACTTGGGACCAAGATCAGAAGAAGGGTTAATCAAGGTAAGTCTTTCATCTTTTAGGAAACGTTTAATACTGAATTTGTTTACTGAGTAGGGTCGATTTAATATGAACAATGACAAGTAAGGTATCGATACTGTTCCAATATACGTTCAAATTAATTATTTAAATTAAATTTAGGTATGTTTGCAAATGTGCAAGCACCTGTATGTACAAAAAGTAATGGCATCAGTGATGCGGCATGCTAATATACTAAAATAAAATATAAAGTAAGATATAAATTTAAAAAAAAAATTATAATTATACACACAAGTATACATTTACAAAAACAGAATAAAAAGAATGATCTAGAGTGGGTACATCTTATTATGCATCAATTTTATCAAAATGAAAAACTGTTTTGAATTTTTATACGTAGGTAGGCTAAGTGACAATGGGTGCAAATATTTTTACATGAACAGATCTAAGGGAGTAAAGGGATCATATAATTTTACATGGACATATTTAAAAAACAAAATATTTTTAGATAAATAGGCGAAGTAAGGAGCCCAAATATTTTACATGAGCAGGCTTAAGAGGTAAAGGGGCCAATTATTATGGGATAAATAGCTCGAACCAGTTTGTAAATTCTAATTAAAAGGCGATATAGAATGGTTTTAAAAATCAAGGCTTGTGAAAATCATCACATGGTTTAACCTAAGTAATGCCAATGCTTCACAAACCAAAAATTCAACGTCTTAATACTATTATCGGCTTTCGTTCTTTCGTTCCAAATTAAATCATTTCTCATTTTTTTACGCTACTTATTTACCCTTGTGGGCCTCAGTCTCGATAACGTGGGAACCGCCATTTTAACGTCTCTCGAATTTTCATAGATTTTTAATAGTCTAACTAGGGTAAGTGTGTTGTTTTACACAAAACAAACGTCTCATATGACTTATGACTACAAGATAGCATGTCCTGCTCATTTTATACATTTTGTGATATAAGCTGTTTTTAGAAGAAAGTTTACTATCTATATTTTATTTCTAAATAACTTCGAAATTTTACAGAAAATCACACCATAACTTCACCTACGGAAATTCAATAGTAAACTGGTAAGGGTAAGGGGTAAGGTAAGCGGCCATGTCATGAATACCAAATAACTTAATCTGGCAATTGGATTCTATTCTAGTCATTATTTTGCCTTTTATAAGAACCAAAATCAACTAGTCTGTATCTCAAAAACAAGATCTGATAAATGACAAGTATTTTTGGAATCAGTGCATCAAAAATATTCTGAACCAATTTTTACTTTTTCGGTACAGGTACAAAGATGTGATTTTGTTGGGCTCTGTAATCAGTGTGCACCACTTAATATACACTAAATAATACAAAAAGAAATATCACCCCAATGATATTTGATATGCATCGAGTTGACTCGATCGACAGCTAACATTGATAAAGATCAGGAAAATCGACAACAAAATTGAAACACAACTACCACAAAATCCGGCACTGAAAATGATCCCTTTTCGATATTTCGGAACGACTATTCCAGTGCGATAATTCTATTTGTGTCCGATACAGTTTCTTCCTAAAAGGACAAGTAATGAAAGAGTCTTCGAGTGGTGAGTGTATTTTTTATACAGATTGTCTATTTTAAGCAGATGTTGGGACTGTCATAATTCGTAATATAATTCAAATGTGAATATTCTTGGTAAAGAATATTAACATAGTAATGATAGTTGGAGTACTACAGGTAAATATTTGATTTTGTTTTTAGGAATAATGAACGCTTCAAATCATAAATGCATAAAAAGATATTTTTTTATTAGTTTTTTTAGCAGTTGTAGGGAACAAATATTGAATATATTCTCTGTTAAAGTTGAATACTTAAATAGTACTAAAAAAGTTTAAGGGCTTTGTTCAAAATTTTAGAAGAAAAATTTATTTGAAATGGGCTTTGAGGTAGGGCTTAAAAAAGCCATTTAGAGAACGTAAAAAGTGAAAACATCAGTTCAGGAAGAAAAATTAAATATACCATTCAGGGGCGGTTTCTCCATTGGTTCATTTGTATAGTGAATACCCAGTTACATTTCATTAAAACATATTATTTTAAAATAAATAACATAAAAATATTAATTCAATGTTAATAATTTTATTGTTTTTATACGTGTTAATATCTATTTTTCGGTACGCTACTGCGCTTTGGCTAATTGCGTTTCCGTGGAGCTCTTTTATAAGTTAGCCCGAAGGAGTTAGAAGTGTTCTCGAAAACCTTTAGCTAAAAAGAGATGTTGCACGTTAACAGATTCGTGAAACGTAGTGACACAAACATAAAATCACTTAAATCAGCTTAATTTGCGATAAATGTTACACACAGTGACGTCACAAAGTAGGGCGGGGCATACGAACTTTCCCATCATTGATATAATAAAGAGGAGATGATATGATGATACTAAAAGTGTCCGCACAGTTTTACGTCATATGTCAAACTCAAGCAATTAGAGTTAGTCAGTTTTAGTGAGAATAAATACCAATTTTTTTTAAATACCATGACTTAAATCATATAAAAACATTTTAATTCAGTCAGTCTTCAAATATAAAATTATTAACGTCAAATTAATCAAAATACGCCTCAAAGTGCGTTCACTTGTCATTTCGCAAAATAGTGTTTATTTCCTCTCTACATTATTTTATCTTGATGTTTCCAATCAAGCTGTCAAACTCTAAAATTCACCATAAGATAATTTTAATTACAGTTACATTAAAGTTTTTTAAGACGATAATGATATAGACAAGGGAAATACAGATGATTTAATATTGTTGGATTATATAAAAGCATTTGATACCATTAACCACAAATTACTTTATAGTATTCTACATTATGTAGGGTTTTCTAATAAAGCTATTAAATTTTTTAAAAATTATTTATTAAACCATGTTCAATTTGTTGAAACAAATTCTGAAAAATCAGATATAAAAAATATCATAAGGATCTATATTAGGTCCGGTTTTGTTTAGCATTTAGGCAGGTAAAATTTGTACAATTCTGGACAATTGCAGGGCTTATATGTATGCTGATAACACACAAATTATATTTACTGTTTCGAAATTTAATAAAGTACTTACAAACGAATTCATTAATTCAGAATTACTAGAAGTAGTCTCGTTTTCGAAAAGACATCAGCCTAATATTAATTTCACTTTTAATGTGATCCATCACAACGTCGGCAGTGCATTTAATTAAATCATTTTGGATTCTGTTTGAGATACCTCGGATAGTCGTCGAATCAATAAAATAATTTTTTTGGGTATCATAGTATTTTGATAAAAAACTTAGAAGGTCCTTGTAATCTCCTCGATTGGCGGATCTACTTGCTTCATTGTGACCCCTAAAACTTAGTTCATGCTCTCCCAGGAAACAAGCTGCATCTATTAATCTTTGTAGGACGTTC